TGGGTGCTGATAGACGACGGTAAATGTCTTGTGGGAGTCGAGCGTGGCGTCTGGCGGCAGCAGGTGCAGCCGGTGGGCTGTGGGAGTGAGGACGTCAGCCAGCAGCCCATCAAAGAAGGCGTCCATGCCCATCTCACGCATCAGCACGCCACCGTCATTCATCGAGTTCGGCCTACAGGCACACACACACACACACAGACAGACACAGACGGATTGTCTGCCTGGACCTCATCCAGCCGTCCTCTGCTCTGCTTTGCTCACTTGGTCGTGTGCAGCCCAAGCGAGCGGAAGTATGTCAGCTCATCGGCAAATCGCCGGAGAAACTCATCGCTGAGTGAGGCAACCAAGGACACACGACACACCGGCACCTCACTCACTTACTCACCGTGTGCCTACCTGAAGACCGGCATCGACACGACGGGGAACCGCCCGCCTCTATGCTGCTCGACCACCGCCCTCCCTCTCCCCTTAGCCTCCCAGCCACTCCTAGACAGCACATCGATGCAGGCCTCGTGCAGCCACCGGCCGTCGGACCAGTCGAACAGCTCGGCGTCCCTCGGCCGATACCGCTCTCTGATTCTGTGGATGCGGCCAGGGGCCTGGGCGATGCAATCGATGCGGTGCTGCCGCTGCCTCTCGAGCTCCTCCCTGACGACGGGCTCGAGATCTCGCCATGAGGAGTCGTCCGGACAGTCGATGTGCACACACCGGGCCTTGAGGAAGTAGCCATGCGTCTGAGAGAGAGGACACACACACACACAGGAAGCCGCCGGGATGAACGAATGAGCGGATGGATGAGTCATTTCGTGACCGATCCGCCTGCACCAGGAAGCAGCTGCAAATGAAGCTTTCGTCTTCACGGTTCCGCTGTTTGCCACTTCGCTTCGCACAGGGGCACAGAGGGGCGCTGAGTTGAACGCCCATGGCTCAGATGCATCAGATCTGCGAGCTAAAGTCGCAGAAAAATGCGAGCTTCAAGATTTATGAGATATGCGCAACTCCTTCAGATCAGGGCAGATTCCCTCGTCCTTGACAGCTTCCCGCGCCCTTCACACACAATCTGTCGCCTTCTCACTCACCGGAGGAACAGCGACGGTCGACTGCAATTGTTGGCGTCACATCATCATCGGCCTCTTGGTTGTGGCTTGGCTTCCGTCCTGCCCGCCGCTCGGGCTGAGTGAGAGCGAGTTGGGGCTGCTGACACTCTTTTCTCTCTACTCTGAGTCTGTTGGTGCTGGTGACTGAGTCGCTGAGTGACTGAGCTGAGTGAGTGCTGTTAGTCTATGGACAACAAGATGACGCGGCGCAGCTTCAGACGGGACTTTGACCAGGCAAGCACACAACCAGCACCAAATTGAAGAGCAGCACGCATGTCCATTTGCTTGTCCCGCTGTCGTGTGTGTGTGTGTGTCAGATGTACCACGAGCAGTTCAGGAAGACCCGGTCAGAGAAGAACTAACTGCACGACAGACACGCACGTCACGTGGACAAACAGCGACTCACTGTCTGTCTGTCTTGCCTCGTTCATGTGTGTCGTGCCTGTCTGTCTGTCCACCATCCATCCATCCATCCATCAGGTTGTGTCGGTGGTATGAGCAGGGACGGTGCGACTTCCCCAACTGCAGATTCGCACACGTGAGTGAACGAGCGAGGGAGCGGCCAGCCACCACACACACGGGATGCGACACACACCATTTGTTTGTGCGGTTGTCAGGGCATCCACGAGTTGCGTCAGCGGCCCTCCCTGCGATGCACATCCATCTGCCCCGCACTCACCAGGGTCAGCCAGCCAGCCAGCCAGCCAGTCAGGCAGGCAGGCAGGCAGCAAACACACCGACACTGAACTCATGCTGCCGCCTCTCTCTCTCTCTCTGTATGTGTGGTGTCTGACATGTCAGTGGGGCGCCTGCACCAACCCCCAATGTGAGTTTGCGCACAGCAAAAGCGAGTTGCGGGCCACGCCCATCTTCGACCGCACCGTCCCCTGCCGAGAGTGGCTCAGCGGACACTGCGAGAACCCCAAGTACACAGACAGATGAGGAGAGCCTGACAGACAGACAGACTGACAGCACACAACACCGTATATGGCTCTGTTTGTGTCTGTCTTTCTGTGGGTGCGGTGCTGTTTGGTTGATGCAGCTGCCGATGGCGACACTCAGAAAGGTGAGCGAGCAACCGCATCCCACACACACACAAGTGCCGCATTGTGTGTCGTCAATCTCCATCAATCAGTGAGGACCACGAAGCGCTGAAGCGCGAGATGCCTCCACTCATCCCGCCGTCGCCCCCCGACCGTCGCACCGACAGCACCGACAACAGCAGCACCTCTGCCCCCAGCGTCGGCGCCTCAGATCGAGGCGACACGCACGTCTCTTCACCCCCACCGCCACCCCCACCCCCACCGTCACACAAGCCCATTTACGACCGGTCCGTCACCTTCCCGCTGCCCAATGGCAATCTCACCAGCTACGCAGTCGAGAGTGAGTCGCCCGTCATGCAGACGATGCACACAGCGGCACACCCACAGATGCTCGCCCCCGCCCCCGCCCCCCTGTCGCCCGTCGTGCACCACCAGGGCAACGTGCCGTTTGTGACCAGCAGCGACCCGGGCGCCAATGTCTTTGTGCTGGCTCTCCTGGGCAGCGTCAAGCCGCAGCAGCTGCCGCAGGCTGTCGGGATGGCTGCCGGGTGTGGTGGATCTGGTGTGGGGGGCGGTGTGGCTTTGCAGCAGCAGCAGCAGCGGCAGCGGCAGACTCAGCAGCAGAGTCAGCAGCCGAGTGGAGGTGTGGATGGCTCAGGCCAGGTTCCTGGCCCGCTGGCGTCACAGATGGCCGTCAACTGCAATGAGCAGGGTGGGAGCGGGAGCGAGGGAGGGAGGGAGGGAGGGAGAGCACATAGACACAGACAGAGAGGGGCAACGAACACACTGGATAGATGGTCGTTGTGCCTCTGTGTGTGTGTGCGTGTGTGTGTGGTGGTGCAGTGCTGCGGCAGGCGGAGCCGGAGCAGTATGAAGAATGAGCCATCCAGGGCGGAGGTCAACGGCGGGCGGTCGCGGTCGTCATGTAGGTGCATACGGATGCTGATGGCCGACAGAGGAGAGGGAGGGTGGGGACAAGGGAGTGATGGGTCTAGGGGTAGGACGGTTGCTTGTCTCACTTAGGCCCGCTACATGACATGAATGAATGAATGAGTGAAATGGGGCGGTCAGGGAGGGAAAGGGAGGGTGGGCAGGGCAGAGTGACTGCATGATTTGTTGGTTGCTGATGATGATGTGTCGGTGAGTGAGTGAGTGAGTGAGTCTGTTTATGCGCCTGTCGTGTGTGCCTTGGGGGTCAGTCAGTCCACCTTATGCGCGTGTGTGTCTTGGGAAGGAGAGAGGGAGGGAGAGAGAGAGGGAGCGGGAGGGGGCTATGTGTACACCACATAATTACACTTCATCCGCACGCACGTGGAAGGGGGTGGGAGGGACCTGTTGTACATAACACTCACACATCTGCCTGCCTGCCTGCCTGCCTGCCTGGTCGGCTGCTGCCTTTTCGTTTGTTCAGTTGACCTGACCCTGGCCGCCTCTTGTTTGCTTGTTTTTTTGTTTGTTCCTGACAATTGCATGCACACGTACGACGCGTGCTGCATGCAGCCAGTCAGCCAGCCAGCCAACCAGCTAACCAGCTAGCTAGGGAGCGAGCAAGAACGGCCATAATGTCTGTCTGTCTGTCTGTCTGTCATGTCTAGTCTAGTGCTCCCACCTCGCTCGCCCGCTCGTTCTGAGTGGATCAAGTCTTCTCACGGACGGGACGGACATTTCCACCAAGTGAATTTTGCCATCCACTCCACACCCGGACGCACGCATCATTCACTGTGCATCCCACCCATCACACACACAAGAGGGAGGGGC